CTGCGCAGCTGCGGCTGAAAGTGGCTCTTGGCTGAACCTCGCAGTCTGTGGTCATCTTGGGGTCCCCTCCAACCAGCCACCCCGTGTGCACTGACCCCAGTGCCCATCCAACATCCCAAATTTGTGTTCAGCACGTTCCTGAGGCCACTTCAGCTCATGTCCCACCCCGCAGGGGCTTGCTTCACCCTTGAGAGAGCCCTGGTGTCAGCACCCACTGACCAGCAAAGGGCCCACAACTCCTAACCAAGCAAGCCCAAGCAGCTGCGCTGTGAGGGGTGCAGGAGGCCCATCTGGGGGTTCTTGCCTCGCTTCCCCACAGGCCCAGAGCCACGTGTCCCACCCCACTTGCTGCTTTGTAACTGGCAGATATACTCAGCCTCATCTTCGGGCTGGAGCCCCGCGATGGTCAGCGAGCCTGAGGTGCCAGACACAGCGCCTGAGAACCGATCAGGGACGACTTTGGGCCGCTTGTTACTCGCAGGTATCAGGAGTTTGGGGACTATGCCCGGGAGCTGTTGGTACCACTGCACAGTGTAACCAGCTCTGATGTTGGAGCTGCTCCCAGCACAGGAGATGACCACGCTCTGGTCCAGGGCCCCGTATACCGAGGACAGCTGCGTCAGCTCGGACCTGGCCCGGGATCCTGGAAGGGGGGACACGGAGATGGTGAGGCCAGCACAGAGACAGGAGCAGGAGTCGGGCCTCTGGGTCCTCACCTATGCAGAGGGACAGCAGCACCAGGAGGAGAGGCATCTCACAGCCCCTGATTCCACACAGCTGGGCTGCCCAGGCCTCCTTTTCTTCACACCCTCAGCCTGCTCACAGCTTTCTCAGGGGCAGCAGAGGGGCAGCCTGGAGCCAGGTAGCGAGCCCCTGCCATGCTTCTAATAGCTGTGAGCAGCTTTGGGGCGGAGAGACATTGGAGCTGGGTGACTGAGGGGAGGGCACATGCCTGGCCTAGAGCCCAGGTCCCACAGGCAGCTCTGGGATGAATACATCTTGACCCCGGGGCCTTTATGTGCCTCCACCCCATGCAGCATAGCGGAAGGGGCAGCTTGGACAGGTTCTCAAGGACAGACAGGTGGACAGGTCCAGTCCCTGTGTATGGCCAGTAACAGGGATCAGAGGCCCTGGAGGAGACTGTGACCCCTCCCCTACCATGGGCTTGGATGCACATGGGCCAGGTGCTGTGTGGATGTCCAAAAACAAGTGCAATATTTAATTACAAACCAAAGAGAAGGCCATTTTAGCCCCTGCCTGGCACGCAATGTCACTGGTGAAGGGGGTCTCTCTGGTGCACCTGTGGTGGGAGCTTGCAAGGACCAAAACCCTGGCAGTCCTATGAAAGATGATCGCTAGCCCAAAAGTCAGATGGAGCCTCGGGGCTTCAGGAGCCCCCACCCCACCAGGCCACCACGGGAGCAGCCCAGGAGGCCCCTGCGCGAGGAGCCCAGCTAGAGCCCCCAAGGGGAGAGATCCAGGCTGCCCAGGGCTGCGAAGGCCCACGGCCAGCCCACTGGCCTGGGCCTCCAGCAGGGGCAGCCATTGCCTGCCACTCCCTGCCCTGGCTTCCCAGCCTGGAGCCACGCACTGGCCCGAAGACAGGACCCACCAGCCACCTTTCATGCCCTTGACACACACTAGGCTGGGGGCAATCCATCATCTTCCAGAGACCCCAGAACTGAGTTCCCCCTAAGGAGAGGCCCCCAGGTCCCCAGGAGTCTGGCAGGCTGCCACTCAGCCCCACCATGGGCACAAAGCCCCATTTCCCCTTAGGCCGCCTTGCCCAGGCCCACTGTCCCACCTGGGGGGAGAGGAGGACAGGTAGTCTTGCTGGTGACCTCAGGATGGGGACGCACAGAAGGACCCACAGGGAGGCCCACCGTGGCCTCGTGGGGAGCCTGGCACTTTGGCTTAGTCGTGGGGTGCTGGCAAGGAGCCTCACGTGGCCCCAGAAGACCTCCTGCTGCTAGCAGTGCTCCAGGAGCCGGGACATGTGCTGGGGCTCCCCCTGGTGTAGATACCCCCCATGGAAGAGTCGGGGTTCCTAGAGAACAGGGTCTCGGGTGCAGACATGGTGACACGGGTGCAACATGAGACTCGCAGCCGCGTCGTAAGTGGCGCCGTAGGGGCGCTGTGGCTCAGCTCCACGATGCTCCCGCCACGCCTGTGGGCCCAGCTGCGGACGCCCTGTGTGTGACATGCGGAGTAGGACATCTGCTGTGAGACGACAGCGACCTGCCTGGCACGCGTTCCTGGCAGTGGAAGGTGGTGCTGGAAGTCTAAATACATGTAAGGACCGCCGCCACCACCAGAGGGCGCGAACTGGGCAGGGGCAAGGCCAGTGCGTGCCCTCCAGGGCATTTGACGCCCTGCCAGGCAGCCCCCTGGACGAGGCCCACCCTCAAGGAGGCCCGGGCCAGGGGCCAGCAGGTAGCCACCTGAGCGGCATCGCCGACTGCATGGGGACGTGGATCCCTGGGGGTCCCCATCCCCGCCTGCGCAGCCCGGGACAGACCTCGGGTCCGGCAGGGTATCTGTCATGGGCCTCTCCGAACAATCCTGCCCTCTGTCTCGCTGGGCCTGGGACAAACAGGCTGGATGAGGAAGAGCCACCTCCTTCTTCCTGATTCCTGCCCTATGCCGCCACCCCAACCAGCTGGGTCTGTTCTGAGTGGTGCCTGGCACCCCCGGGGGAGTGGGGCTCTGAGATGTGGGATCCTCCGAGACCCCTGCCCAGGCCAGCAACCCTGCTCTCTGCTTGACACTCTGGATAAAGAGCGCTCCCAGCCTGCCGGCAGCCCTTCGGGCCCAGCCCGTGCCCGCTGCCCTCTGGCACAGACGGCCAGAAGGAAGCAGCTGTGCCTTCTCACTGGCATCTGCGGGCTGGGTGCCAGAGGCCCAGGCTCGCCATCCAGGTGGGGAGCCTCCGGCTCACTGTCCAGGGTGCCAGAGCATGAAGGGCTGAATTCCTGGCAGATGGAGCATGTGGGCTGGTCAGGAGCCCAGCGGGCCTCGAGTGCCAGCCTGGGGGCCAGGCCACTGGCCTTCTGGCCACCTCCTCAGCCTGGGAACTGAGTCTGAGTGTCAGAGCGGGAGCAACTGGCTGGCCTAGGGGGCCCCGGGGACTGCTTGTCCCGGAGGACCAGGCTTGGGGGAGCGGAGCGGTTGTCCTGGTCTGGACCCACTCCAGGGTGCTGCCGCCTGGCCACGTGCTGGGCACTGCTGCCACAGGCGAGGAGGCCGGGTGAGGAGGGCAGGCTGGAGGAGCCTCAGGGGCGGCCCGGCCCTGCACGGGCTCCAGAGCCAGACAGCTGGGACACAGGGCGGAAGGAGTCACACAGAGGCTCCGTGAGGGGCGGTCCCGTGGCCGCCCCGGTCCCGGTAAAGACTAAGGTGTACTGTTGGGCTGCCAGTGCCTTCTCGCCTTCTGGACTGGCCCTCCGGGGAACAAAGAGGGGATTGAGCTCTCCACCTGCTTCCTCAGGCTTCTCCTGTTGGCGAGGTAGGCGGGGTGGGGCCGGCGTGAAACTCAGCTGCTGGCCCGTGGCGTGAAGCCCTGAGCCTGGCTGCCCTCACCTCCAGCTCATTTCCTGGAGCGCTTCTGTGGCTGAAACCCAGCACGGCGCCTTGGCCAGAAAGGGAAAACTGCTGTAGTTTGTGTAAACGCACTGCCATCTTGGCTCTGGGTCAGCCGAAAGCCATCCAGGTCAGCCTGGGTCGGCCAGGGCCTGGCTTCCTGGGGCAAGTGCCTGCCTCCGCTGGCCGCCCTGTGCTGGGGCATCCTCCTGGTGCTGCCACGAGGGCCTGAGCCTGCTCAGGCCCGTCCCTCTCCCAGTTGGTTTGCCAAGCGCCTGGCCAGACACTTGCAGGTGTCTGCACCCTGGCACCTCTCACCTCCAGGGGCTCCTGCCAGACAGCTCCATGAGTAGACGCCAGCCCCCCACTCTCAGGGTGGCCACAGATATGCCCAGCGCCATGCCAGGCCGTGTGGACACAGGTGGCC